CGGGGGGGGGACACTGACAGCCGGGGGGAGACACTGACAGCCAGGGGTGGCACTGACAGGCATGGGGGATCGCTTTTTCAGCCTCAAACTCAGCCAGGCTCAGGAGCACTGCCATTTCCAGGGTAGGCTTTGCAGCATCGGGGAAGAGACCCCTCCTCACTCTCTGCCTCTGGGAAGCCCCCGCTCTGGTCTCACTGGAATCTCTCCAGCGAGACTGAACGAGACTGAACGAGAGAGGGTCCTTGGTCGGTGGGATTCTCCGCTGGCCCGGAGAAGGGGAGTTTCCTGCCCTTTCTCCCAGTCCCGTTTCCATATTCCGGACGGGGACACGGAAGGTGCGGCCCCGCCCGCTGACTCACGCCCAGGTTGATAAAGCACAGGGGCTGGTCAGGGTCATCTTAGCCCTTCCTCTGCCTTCCCCAGGGTGCTCTACCCCCCGGTGGCTGGTCACGCCTGGAGCTGGGTTAGATCTGCTCCTGCCTCAGCCCTCGCCACCTTCCTTGCCCACGCACTTGCCCTCTCGGATAGAATGCGAGAATTCCTTCCCAGTTTCATGGGACTGTGGATGTGAGACTGCATATGTGGGTTGTCATCCCCAAGTGCTATATTATTTAAGTGGAGTCACTTGCCTTCTCTGGACCTCGGATTCCTCATGGATTACCCCCCCCCCCAATTCCCAGTCCCCAAATCCCAACTCTCATGCGAAGCATCCCCGGAATGCTGTGGCTGGCAGAAAGTGAAGCAAGAAGGATCTAAGTTGGAGTCCCTGATGAACTTACTAGGAGCAGTTGCTGGGTGACCCTGCAGGAGGGTCGTAAGTTATAGTTTGACTTTAGTTTCAGTGAGGGCTGGGATGTGTGTGTGCGGGGGCGGGGGGGGAGGGGTGTCCACGTTTCTGGACACCTGACCTTTAAGAACGTGGCCTTTGCCACCCATCATCTCTGGTCTCATTTCTGCTTTGCTCTTCTCTTCCCTCCCACCAGGATGTGTGCATGGGGGTCGCATCTACCCAATCTTAGGAACCTACCAGGACAACTGTAACCGTTGGTGAGTGTTTGGGGCTTGGAGAGGCACCCTTGTGGGCTTCGTGGCTGACACACTTGGTTCAAACCCTATCCCTGTCACTCACTTGCTGGGGGCAAGTCCTTCCCCTTCTCTGAGCCTCAGTTTCCTCATCTGAAACATGGAAGTTTTCACACTGACCATATCAACTTCTATAAACAACAGTCTGACAACATTCCCCAGGGGTGACCAACCATGGGTACCTGACTCCAGGTGGGGCCCTGAGCTGGGAGTCATTCCTGGCCCCTCCTCACTTGGGCTGGGCTACTGCCACCCCTGCACCCCACCCAACCCCGGCCTTTCTCCATGTCACGGGGGAGTCCGAGAAGGGGGCGCCAGGAAGGAAACCTCTGACTGCAGCATCCGCTGCCCTGGACTGGATGAGGGTCAGGGGTGGCTGCGCTGGAGGTCAGCCAGCCTGTAGCAGGGCCTTCCCCGGAATGTGGCCCCTCTCCCGCTTCACCTCCGCCATTCCGTTCCGGCAGGAGGAGGGAGTCAGGGGTGCCCCTCGATTGAACCTAGAGCCTGAGATGGAAAGTGGAGCTGGGGTGGGCAGGAAGCCTTAACGGAAAGAATGGGGACCCTGTGACTTAAAAGGAGGAGGCCCTGCACCCTCTCCACCCCCTGCCCTCTTTGCCTGGGAGGCCCCAGAGAGAAGGAAACTTTTTGGAATGCATTACGCATAAGCTGTTTCCATTGCCTCACTGGTATGAGGGGTGCTGGGTGAGAGTGTGTCTGGGGCAGAGGGAGAGAGAAAAAGAGAGAGAGAGAGAGAGAGAGAGAGAGAGAGAGAGAGAGAGATGCTTGTATGTGTTCAGAAGATGGAGTGCACCTGCATGACTCTGCCAGTCCTGATAGGGTGCCTCTGGACACTGAGGGGTTAACACTTTCTCCAAGCCTGTCCTAGGGCCTGGCCACCCCAGACCCTCTCTGGAATGCTGGGATCTGTTGTCACCAGTCCAGTCTAGACCTGCTTGGACAGCCCTAGGGGCTAAGGGGAGGTGCAAGCAAGGACTGACCAGCCCTCTGCCCACCCAGACCAGCTCTGAGCAGCTGGGCTCCCTGTGCCTGGGACACCTGAGGGAGGGTGTGGGGCTGTGTGAGCCCTCGAGGGATGAGGAATGCTGAGAGAGAGTGGGGGGTGGGAAGCCTCCTGTCCGGCAGTCCCCTCTGGCCTCCCTGAAAGTGCCCGCCCCCTCCTGGGACTGGAGAGCCCAGCCATACTGGGTCTTTCTTGGTTCCCCTTGAGGCTCCTTAAAAGGCAACATTGGAGGCGGGGAGCCTTGGGCGGGCTTAGGAGGAGGTGATTTAGCATCTTGTAATAGCAGAGTTAAGAGCTTGTAAAAGTACCGAAGAATTCATAGAATTCAACTATTCAGTCGACACCTATTTTTTAAAGACCTACTAAGTGCAGCCAGAATGCGCCACAGGTTTTGTCCTTGGAGCTTCCAGGCTAGTGGTGAAGAACCAGACCCACAACCTCGCACAGGCACGAGGGGAAGAGAGAGAACAAGGGGCACCCCAGTTTAGAGTGTGGTGGGGTTGAGGGAGGGCCACCCAGGGAATGACATTTGTGCTGATATCAGAGAGACAGAGGCCCAGGAGGGAACATGGGAGGAACAGCGTGTGGGAAGGCCGGGGCGGGACCCAGCTCACTGCAGCCGGAGCTGTGAAACGGGGAGAGAGGCCCCGGAGGTGCAGGCCGCTTCCTGCGACTCTCATAAGCGGTGGCGAGGATTTTGTATTTTGTTCTACGTGTTGTGGGAAGCCCCTTAGAGCACATAATCTGATTTACTGGCCAGCTGATCTCCCTCAGAGATCTCTCTGGCTTCAGGAGGGGTGTGTGTAGGGATCACGAAAAGGCAGGGAGCCTGGTTAGGTGAGAGGTGGCAGCGGAGGGGGGTCAGGCAGGTGGACTCAGAGCCTTTTGTGATGTGAATTCCTGGACCTGCTGATGGAGGAGGCCTGGGGGTGGGGCTGAGTTCTGGCTTAAGCCCCTGTGGATAAGGTGCGTGACTGGAGCTGAGAATGTTAGGGCAGGAGCGGGTGTGGGAAGGCAGCTTGATCATTTGAAGTTTGAGATGACTTTTATACACCCAGAGGGGCCAGCCGGATCTGAGTCTGACACTCCAGAGGGGCGGGGCCGGGTCCCTGTAATGAGAACAAGAATGGTGGGTGACGATCCTGGAGGACCTAAGACGGGCCCCGCCACACTGCACGCTCTGCACGCTGCCACTGCATCCCTGAACAGTGGGGCTATTATTGTCCTCAATTTACAGACAATAGTTTAACTTACCTGCTAGGACTGGAACCCAGGATTTGAATTTCAGAATCTATGCTTAGTCACTTCGCTATAGTGCCTCATTCATTCATTCAATAAGCATTTACTGGGTGCCCACTATGTGCTAGGTTTTGTTTTGTAGGCACTCTTCAGTACCAAATAATACCTGCCCTTGAGGCCCCTAGAGTGTGTGAGGAAACAGGTATAAGCAATATAAATAACTAACTGTGTAGGATGCCAGATAGGGATGGCATGCGAAGGGTAAAAATAAAACAGGGAAGAGAGATAGGAGGAGCGGAGGATGGGGAATTGTAAGCTAGGGTGGCCAGGGCAGGCCTCCCTGAGCAGGTGACATATGAATGAAAACTTGGACGAAGTGAGCGAGCCATGGGACATTGGAGGAAGAACAACAGTTGAAAGGCCCCGGGGCAGGAGCACAGCTGGTGTGGAGTCAGAGGGCCAGCCTGGCGGGGGAAGGGGTCGGAGAGTGGACAAAAAGGCAGATTGTGCGGGGCCTGCTGGCACCGTCAGGACCGTGGCTCTTATTCTGTGATGCGAAGCCAGTACAGGGTTTGGGGCAGAGGAATGACACGATCTGACCTGGGTTTAACAGGAACACCGGCAGCTGTGTTAAAAATACACTGAAGGGGGTGCAGGGCAGAAGTGGGGAGAAGAGCGGGGAGACTGCAGCATAATCCAGGTGAAAGGTGATGGAACCACAGGGAAGAATAAGACGTGGTTTGGATTCCGGGTGCGTTTTTAAGGTAGAGCCAACAGGATTTGCCAAGGAGTTAGATCAGTAGATAAGAGACAGTCAGGCTTTTGGCCCGAGCCCTGGGAAGGATGGAGTGGCTGCGTCTGGGGGCAGGCAGGGGAGAAGGGGAGACCAGGAGTTTAGCTTGGGATGTTTTACGTTTCACCTGTTGGTAGACACGGGGCTGAGGGAGTTTAGGGAGAGACCCGGGGATATAAACTTGAGGATCGTGAACTCGAAGCTGACATTTTAAACCACCAGGCTGGATGGGATCCTCTAAGGGTCTTGTCGTAGACGCTGGTACAGAATCCCAGGCCCATGTAGACCTCCGCGGCCTCTTCCCTTCAGCGGCTGCCCAGCACCCCCCCTCACTCCTTCCTTCCCCGCTATTCTCCCAGCACCTGCCAGGAGAAGGGGCGGTGGGAGTGTGATCAGGAGCCATGCCTGGTGGACCAAGACATGATCAACGCCATCAACCAGGGCAACTACGGGTAAGAGGCCCTGCAATGCCCCGGTGGGCACCCAGCACGTGCACACGCACATTCTGCCGGAGATGCATGTCCCCCAGGCACGCCCACACTCAGATCTTAGTTCTGTGGCAGAATATGCTCATGAGCCCGTATTTATCTCTCCCACGAACAGGCATGTGCCCCAAGGCCCCCAGCCTTAGTCTGTCACTTCCATCCCTTCTCTTTCAGGTGGCGGGCTGGGAACCACAGTGCCTTCTGGGGCATGACCCTGGATGAGGGCATTCGCTATCGCCTGGGCACCATCCGCCCATCTCCCTCCGTCACCAGCATGAATGAGATTCACGTAAGTCCATCCTTGTCCACAATCCTGCCACCTCATGGCCTAAGATGCCAGGGATCCTGGCACCCTGTGTCCTATTCGTCCGAGGCCGGGGCCTATCCCTCTCCAACAGGCTGTGTGACATTGGACATGCCACTCTCCTTCTCTGGGCCTTTGGTCCTGGCCTATAACAAGATGGGCTGCACTAGAAGAACTGATGTGTAGAGTCTGGGTGTTGTGCTTCCAGCTGAGCCCCTTCGTGGCCTCCCCAGCCTGGGAAAAATGCTCTTGGTCCCAGTACAGCAGGGTCAGGGCCCAAGTGGCCAGGAGGTCACCTTGGTATTTTGGGAAGGGAAAACAGCCACTCCTCCAGCTCGGGCCAGAGAGCAGCAATTCTCGGAAACAACCCAGCGGAACCCCAAGGGAGGAGGGGGCTTCTCCCTTCCCACTAGTGGGACCCTCTCCAGGCAGAAATGGGAACCAGACCAGGACAGTCAGCATGAGGAAGGGGCGCGTTAGCAGGACAGGGCTGGGCACGGGCTGGAGGCTCCGCTTCGCAGTGGTGGGCAGGGAGGAGGCGGGGGGCTGGCCTGGGCGGCCCTGTCTGAAGAGGGACTTCAGCTCAAGGCTGGGTGAGCGGACCCTGCCCCGCCCCGGGCCTCTGCTATTTGCCTCCCGCTGTTTGCCTTGGCAGCCTGCTCAGTCACGTGACCCGACTGCTCCTTCCCGCCCGGCCCTGAGTGGCCTGAAGCCCAAGGTCCTGGTGGGAAGGAGGATGTGACCGATTGAAAGGTGCAGAGGAGGAGCGAGGCCGGGGCGAGGAGAAAGGCAGGATGGCTCTGGCCGGGCCACTGCCCTGTTCCCGGCCACAGGACCGGCGGCCTCCCCCTGACACGAGGGCGGCACTCGGGGTGCCCGGGTCGCACCGAGTCAGCGTGGAGGTCGCGGGAATCCTTCCTCAGCAGGAGGCTCAAGGTCAAACCGCAGAAGGCCCTGGACTCCTGGTGGCCCCCCAGTGCCAGCAGGCCTCCGCGGGGCAGGCGGGCAGGAGCAAGAGGCAGGCCGAGTGGCTTTGTCTTGCAGAAAATGCTGGTCCCGGGGGAGGTGCTGCCCACAGCCTTTGAGGCCTCTGAGAAGTGGCCCAACCTCATCCACGAGCCTCTTGACCAGGGCAACTGTGCCGGCTCCTGGGCCTTCTCCACAGCAGGTACATGTGAGGGCAGGGCTGGCTGTGTGGGGAAGGGAGCTGAGGCCTGAGCCCTCTGACAGCCCGTCTGCTCCTTCACCAGCCGTGGCATCCGATCGCGTCTCAATCCATTCTCTGGGGCACATGGCACCCGTCCTGTCGCCCCAGAACCTGCTGTCCTGTGACAAGCACAACCAGCAGGGCTGCCGTGGTGGGCATCTGGATGGCGCCTGGTGGTTCCTGCGACGGCGAGGGTGAGCAGCGGGGGGTGTGGGCAGGGGAGAGGGCAGGTGGCAGGGGCCTTGGGGGAGGCCAGCTCACTCCGCCCCTGCTCCCTCCTGCTGCCCCTCCAGGGTTGTGTCTGACCACTGCTACCCGTTCTCGGGCCGGGAGAAGACGGAGGCAGGCCCCGCGCCCCGCTGCATGATGCACACCCGGGCCACGGGTCGGGGCAAGCGCCAGGCCACTGCCCGCTGCCCCAATCACCACGTCCATGCCAATGACATCTACCAGGTCACGCCTGCCTACCGCCTCGGCTCCAGTGTAAGTCTGCACTTGGGTGAGGGGCAGGGGAAGAGAACAGGAAGGCCGGGGCCTCGCCCCTAATGGACACTCTCCTCTCCGCCTCCCACCCTGCAGGAGACGGAGATCATGAAGGAGCTGATGGAGAACGGCCCTGTCCAAGGTGAGTGTCCTTCGTCCTGCCCCCGATCCCACCGGGCCCAGCAGCACACTGTTCTGTACAGCACTGAGCAGCAGGTCCACTGGGGCCGGACGCGGGGGGACCATGTCCCCTCCCCATGAGCAGCACCTGGTGGGAGAGGCTGCGGGGCTGAAGGCTGAGCTGGCCCCACCTTGCCCTCTGCCCACAGCCCTCATGGAGGTGCACGAGGACTTCTTCCTGTACCAGGGCGGCATCTACAGCCACACCCCAGTGAGCCTCGGGAGGCCAGAGCGATACCGCCGGCACGGAACCCATTCGGTCAAGATCACAGGGTGAGGGGCTCTGGAGGACAGAGGGGTTGGAGGCCCCGAGCTTACACTGGGGGCTCTGAGCCTGTCCAGAATCCAGACCCCCTCTCTGCAAAGCCCCGTTTCAAAGGGGAGGAAACCGAGACTCCAACCAAGGAGGGACTTAGCCTAGTCACACCAAGAGTTGGTGCCTTTCAAGGTTCCAAGGGACTGCTCCTTCCTTATGGGCGGAGATAGAGTAAGTCCAGTGCAATAGACAAGGATTCAGGAGTGGCTAGTCTCTCCCCATCTCAGCACCTGCTCAGCTCTGTCCCACAGGGACTCGCTCCCCAGCCTTCAGTGTCTCCACCTGAGATAACAGAATCGTCAGAGTGACTGAGGTCAGGTGTCCAACCAATGACAGTTCTTGGCCGTGGAGTTTGGGGCCTCTAGGGCTCCCACATTCCCCGAGTCTCTTCCTTCTGGTCCCTGGCACCCACTCTCCTTGGCTCCCCAAGTGAGGAGGGAGGGCAGGCAGAAGTGTGAGGTTCCAGAGAAATGGCCCACAGGATGGGGGTCCCTGGAGGACGGAGGCCCACAGTCCCCCTTTTCTGCACGCCCCTCAGTTACCCCTCTTGTGCCTTCACCCACACTGGGCACAGGCACACAGACTTAGAGGGAGACCAAGGGAGGTGCAGACAGGACAGAGACCTGCCCAAGTCCTAAGGGTGTACCCAAGCGCCCAAAGGCAGCAGGGCCTGGATAGGGATTGCCTGGGGGTGCAGCCTCTGAACGCAGGTGGAATCAGCGCCCTTGCTCCTGCCCGGTCTGGCCCGCAGGTGGGGAGAGGAGTCACTGCCTGACGGAAGGACGCTCAAATACTGGGTGAGTCCCTGCGCTGCGGGCCCTGCAGCCGCTGCCCCCACCGCCCCGCCTCCGCTTCTCCATGCCCTGCTCATGCGCCTCCTCATTCCCAGACCGCAGCCAACTCGTGGGGCCCAGCCTGGGGCGAGAAGGGCCACTTCCGCATCGTGCGTGGAGCCAACGAGTGTGACATCGAGAGCTTCGTGCTGGGTGTCTGGGGCCGTGTGGGCATGGAGGACATGGGCCACCACTGAGGCCGTGGCCGCCATGCCAGGCCAGCCGGCAGAAGAGCCCCCTGTGGGCTCCCCCTGCCCCACCCCCTGCCTGGTAGATCGTGCTCTGGACACAGGCTGACGCCAGGGGCCTAATCCTCGTGGGTTCTGCTGACACAGCGCCCCGCTGGGAGCCGAGGGCAGGCGAGGCTGGTGGAGCCCCCAGACTGCCCAGCGGGTATGGGACAGAGCCTGGCCGGGAGAACCAGCCTGCAGACCCCAGGCCCTGCACCCCCACGCAAGGCCACTGAAGCCAGGACGCTACCAAGTGTCCCGCGCCACCAGCCCATCCCACCCCGTACTCTTACTCTCCAAAGATATTTATTTTTTTCACTGTTTTAAAATAAAGACAAACTATTGGTAACTTTAATAACTTGGAGCTTCAGGCCAGAGTTGGGTGGCACGTGGTTAGGAACAGAAAGGACGGCCTGAGGTCGCGCTGGGTGGCAGTGGTGTGTGGACTAGACATCAGTCTCCATTCAGCCCTCGCTGCCAGCGGCCCTGGGCACTGAACCTCTCGGAGGTAGACCATGGATGGCATGACCTTTGACCCTCAGAGAGACATGAGCTCATGGGAACCACCTTTCAGACGCTGACTCGGCACCGCCCGAGCGGGGAGGGCAACCCACCAACCAGCAGAACTGGCGCCAGTGCCCAGCAGGCAAGGGGGGCACAGCCCCACAGAAGCTGAGCCTCTGTCTCCGCAGATCAGCCTCTCCGAGCCCCCCAGGCGAGGCCCCCTCTCCGTCGCTGGGCTGAGCTGAGCCTGCCTCTCCAAGCCCTCTCCCCACCCCACCACCTTCCCAGGATCCCAGGCTCAGCCTGGCTTTCAAGGCCATGAGGACCCGCCTGGCCAGCATCTTCACCCTGTGCCCAGGCAACTCCAGAGTCCTCGCCGCTCCTCAGATGTCCAGTACAATGCAGACCACTGGGCATTTGCACATGCTATTCCCCCCGGTCCAGAGACCTTCCATTCTACCACCGCTTGTCCCTGCCCCACTCCCATTTCAAAGCCAGCTCCAGGGTTCCTTCATCTGGACAACACTGTGGAGGACAACAGATGTGTCCCCAAACTACCCCAACCCCACCTAGCGTGGCTTACACACCCCTCCCTGGACTCACCTGCACCCTGCCCTTTCACCCTGGATTTCACTCCACTGGGTGTCTACTTACCTCCTCGGCTGGGCTGCTAGTCCCCTGAGGGCAGGGGTTGGGTCTGGTTCATGAGTGGGTCTTGGTACCCACACGGAGACCCTGGCGTACAGTGGCATTCTCGTTACTGAAGCGGTTGAGTGGACATGACTCATTCTTTCTCCTCCACTTGCCTCGAGACCTGGACCCCAGCCCATCCCTCTAAGCACAGATGTCAGTGGGGAGCCCAGGGAGGCTGGGCCTGGGTGGAGGCTCGCACAGTAGGGATCTTCCTCCCCCACCCCCAGGCCAGTCACCGAGGAGAGGCGAGGCGAGGTCCCTGCCCCTGGTGGGCAGACCCTCGGGAGGGACCGGAGTCCCCTGGCCTTTTGGGCATCACCTGAAAGGAATGTGTGGCCCGATAAGGGGCCGCCTTTGTCTCATTTCCTGTTTGCCAGGACGTCCCGAACTTTGCTGCCCTGGCAGCCAGCCCATCCCCAAGGAGTCAAGGCCAGTCAGTGGCCCTGGGGACCGGGAGGGGCGGGGACACCCACCAGGGAATGCGGGGGCTGCCGCTCACCAACGCCTTGGGCTGCAGCCACCAGGATGCACTGCTGCTCCCACCGGAGGCGGGGAAAACCCTGTCCAGGGGCGGCTTGGCCGGCGGCGTGGCTGGAATTTTCTACAAGGACCTTTGGCGGAAGCTGCAGGTCCTTGGGGAGGAGAGGGTAGTAAGGGTGCAGCCAGGTTGGAGACTGGGGGCGTCAGCCCCGCCCTTCCTTAGTCCTTCCCCTGGCGAGGGAGCCCCAGCCCGCCCAGCCCTGGAGTGGAGAGGGCTCTGGTGGGACTGTGGAGGGCTTAGCCTGCCTGAGTGACCTTGCCTGTCACCCTTCGTTCTCTGATGTAACAACAGACGGACGTGTTGTTAGAAAGAACCTGCAAACATCAAACCGCACCCGCCCAACCAAATCACTGCCCTTGAGCCGGTCCATGAGAAACCCCAGCACCCTCATCCCTGCTGGGCTGTGTCCTGAACTAGTAAGTCCCTTCCTCCCTCAGAGCCTAGAGCAGTGATGGCGAACCTTTTGAGCTCGGCGTGCCAGCATTTTGAAAAACCCTAACTTAACTGTGGTGCCGTGTCACATACAGAAATTTTTTGATATTTGCAACCATAGTAAAACATATTTCTGATATTTATTTTATATATTTAAATGCCATTTAACAAAGAAAAATCAACCAAAAAAATGAGTTCGCGTGTCACCTCTGACACGCGTGTCATAGGTTCGCCATCACTGGCCTAGGGCCTGGGCCATTAGACACGCCTGGGTTTGAACCCTGCTCTGTTTGCTCCACACTGGCGAGGTAATGCTGCCTCTCAGAGCCTGTCTTAGTGGGGATACCAGTACAGTCCTTGGCGCTGAAGAAGGGGGCCACGCCCTGACTGGTGTGGCTCAGTGGTAGAGGATAGGCCTGTACACCGAATGGTCGAGGGTTCGATTCCCAGTCAAAGCCCCAGTCAGGGGCCTGTGTGGGAGGCAACCAACGATGTGTCTCTCTCACATCCATGTCTCCCCCTCTCCCTCCTCTCTTCCTCTCTTCCTCTCTCTCTCTCTCTCAAAAAAAAAAAAAAATCAATGGGAAAAATATCCTCAGGTGAGGATGAACATTGATTTAAGAGAGAGAGAGAGAAACATCAGTGTGAGAGAGAAACACTGAGAGTTGTCTCACACATGCACCTGGACCCAGATCACACCCACAACCTGAGCATGTTGACAGCAAACACTTCTACACGTAGAAAGAGTGCACTTTAAAGTAAGGATAGAGAGCACAGTGTAGCAAATCCATGAAGCAGCAGCACAGGCCTTTATTATCCTCATCAAGTATTACGCACTGTATGCGGTTCTATATGCTACACCTTCCAGGAGTGAGAGTGCAGTCGGTTTACTACACCGGCATCACCACAAACACATTATGACAGCGGTGACACCAGGACAGCCGTGACACCCCTCGGTGATAGGAGCTGTTCAGCTCCACTGTCACTTATGGGACCACCGTCCTGTATGCGGCCGTTGGTGACTGGGGCACCGGGATGTGGCGCGTGACTGTACTCACCTCCCGGAGCTGTTGGGAGGATTGCATGAGACAAAGCACGCTAAGCATTTAGCTCCGCACTTGGAACGCAGGGGCTCGGTGACTGGTAGCAGCTCTCATCATTCTAAGGGGATGGGACTGGTTTGATAACATAAAGGCTTTTCCCGGTAAGCTAAACATTTATTGAGTGTTTAGCCACAGTGCCACCACATTGCTCTGGCTGCTTTACGTATAGTATCTCCTTCAACACTAGAAACAACCCATTTCCTTATTTTGCAGACAAGGAGCAGAAGCCTAGACGAGCCTAAAGTTTATTTGAGGCGGATTCAAACCCAAACCCTCTCCATCCTCATACAAATCATCTCTGCATGAACAGTGGTTGATTGGTAGTGATAGCTCAGTGTCTTTTCCAAGTCTTTTCCGTGCTTGGAAAACTCTTATTTATCCTACAAAACCCAGGTCAAATGTCCCTTTTCTGGAAAGCCTTTTCTGGCAACAACCCTCTGGACCTCCAGAAACTTCAGCGTGTATCCCGGGCACAAAGGGAGTATCTGTTGACAACTTTTCCCCCACCCCCAACGGAATGGGGCAGGAATGTTTTTCTTAGCCTCATCCTTTCTACTCACCAAATGTTCTGCTTGGGCATTCACTCTGGTCTCCTGTGGGGCTCTGCAGGGTCCCAGGGCACCTGACTCTAGTTTCCCAGGAGCTGCTAAGTTACATCACTTTAAGAGTGCTGATGCCTCACATCTTCCTGGTATCTTGCCAGCCCCCATCCCTGCCTGGTGCCCATTAAGGGAAAGGAATTCATGCCTACTGAGCCTGCAGTGGGCCAGGCCCTGGGCTGGCTCTTCATGCACTTTAGCTCATTTGATCCCATACACATCCCTGTGAGAAAGTATTGTTAGACACCAGTGCCAACCAGCAAGGTGACTGTCAGAATCCAGATGGTGAGCAGGGCTCCTGGACCCGGACACAGCTGGAATCAGAGACACTAATTATCCCAGGACCGCCAACTCTCTCTCCTGCCTTTCTCTCTACAGCAGTGGTTCTCAACCTTCTGGCCCTTTAAATACAGCTCCTCATGTTGTGGCCCAACCATAAAATTACTTTCGTCGCTACTTCATAACTGTAATGTTGCTACTGTCATGAGTCGTAATGTAAATATCTGATATGCAGGATGGTCTTAGGTGACCCCTGTGAAAGGGTCGTTCGACCGCCAAAGGGGTCGCGACCCACAGGTTGAGAACCGCTGCTCTACAGACTAACTCTGCCTTGAGGAAGGACATGTGGCCTCCTGTGCGTCTCAGCCCACAGCCATGTTCTCAGTTCTGATTCAAAACAAACCTGAACAGAACAGGGGGCGTTCCTGATTGGCCTGTCCCTAATTAGGCGTGCGCCTGTCATGGAAGCCATGACAGCCCTTGCTGAATTGGTGTTTGGGGGCAGGGGGGTCCCCAAGAAGGAGAGGACCGCTATTCCAGGGGGAAGAAGGAATAGTGAACAGATGACAGAAATAGGCCCACAGCAGCCAGGGATGACCACCATGGGACAGGCAAGGAGATCAAGGCTCAGGAATGCTGTGAC